ACCAAGTAAATCACCCAAGATTTCATACAGTCAAGAGAAGGAAGCCAGAAATCAGAATGATTTCTGCAGGAGAAGAAGAAGAAGAACTCGAAGGAGAAAAAGGGGCGCAGCCAGAGAGAGAATGAAGGATCTAGAGAACTGAAAGTCGAATGAGCCTCAAACCCTAATACCCCTTTTATGTGAGTCACTCTACAGTCGCCTATCCAACGGTGTTGGAGGTGACACGTGGTGACATCACAGGCGTCCAAAATATTAGGTGAAAAAGGAAACACGATTTCAGCTTAAGAGACCAACACGTTTTTCTTCCAGCAAGTAAACAGATACAGTGGGCTGGGTTTCATTTCCAGCTGGGCCAACAAATATTGGCCCAATAGCCAATGGCATCATTGTGCCACAAATTCCTTTCACTTAAATATATTGACAACATCCCCAGCGTGTCGTCGAGAGAAGAGAAAAAGAACAAAAATACTAAGGAAAACATCATCATTTGCCATTCTCTAAATGTTAAATATTGTTTTTGAATCATTGTTCTCTTTCTTCCTCAGGCAGTCCATTGTTTTTTCTGCTTTGTAGTTTGTCCTGGATAAAATAGAATTTTCACTTCATATTTCGGGAATGTACAAGTCTGCCCGACTCATATGTGGACTTTATTCCCGATTTTCCCAACAAATCATCACGTACGAGATTCCTATTCATATCCAATACATGCAATAATATGATCTTATCGGATGTAAATTGTAAGTATATACTTCATTTGCCAATAACCTTTGATTGAACTTTATTCCTCATTTGAATGTGTTCGGCATCCATTTCTTCATCGATTTTGAAAAGGGATCTATCATAGCACACATGCATAGTGACACAAGTATCATACCACCATCCTTGAACATTTCCTTTGAACGAATTCACAATGCTCACGGTAGCAATGATGTTATCAATGGAATTTACTTTGCCGTCTTGAGTTGGTTGTTTGCGATGTCTACAATCCCGAACATAATGTCTGAGTTTGCCACATACATAACAAGAAACTTTGAATTTCTTCTTGTTCTTATTATTTTTGTAGGGATTTGTGAATTTCCTCTTTTTGGAATCCTCGTTGTATTTGTTTGGCTGATCCATGACATGAGTTTTGTAAGTGCTATCATGAGAATGTTCATTCCCATCTCGTGCATTCGACCCTTCCTCTATTAAAAAATGTTTTTTTTTCTTCCAAAGAATAATCTAGGAAATTGTGAAGAATTTTCTTTCTATAGCCTTTCTATGAAAATGGCAATTTCACGATGATAACATCAACTTGGAAGGTTTCGGGAAGATCAACATTCACGGCCTTTATTTTATTGAAAATGATTTGCAACTCAAGTACTTGTCCAATAGAAGCAAGTTATCCAAAAATTTGAAATCAAAATACTTAAAAATAAGAAATTTTTTTGGTACCTTCATCCTAGGCTTTGTATTTGGTTCCAATGATTTCCATATATCTTTTGCCGATGTGAGATTTGTGCAGAAAGCATAGAGACGATCGGAGAGAGCATTTAGAATGTGTTCTCTACATATCAATTCATCTTCTTCTCTCTTTTTCCTTTTCGCCCTTGTTTCATCGGTGTCATTTGGGGTTAGTTCTGGCGACGGTGTCAAGTTTGAATTCAAAATGTAGAAAATCTTCAAGGTTGTGGGAAGAAATTTCAACTTGTCATTTCATCTTGTAAAGTTCGAGCCGTCGAATCTCTCAAGCCTCATAAGGTCTTGATCCATCATCTTTATCGTAGCCATGGTTGTTTCGTTCTCATGTTGAATATCGTTTGAGATTGTTGAATAAAGTTGATGAAGAATAAGAAAACAAAACCAACAATAAGAAATCGCCAAAATTGAAGGTTTGAACACGATTATAAATCGCTATCTTCAAACAATATTTGTCGCCATCGGGGAAAGTGCTTGAAGGCTTCAATGACAAATGGTTTGCAAGAGTAAACAAAACTTAATCCAATTATGAATCAAGCAATCAAAAACTTGAAAAAGGAATTTTGAAGAACAATATAAGAAATTGGGTTTGATCTTTGATTTTGGATGTGATGAATGAATTTGATATTTTTTATATTTTTCCAATCATGAAAATCGTTCATATATAGAGAATTACAATCACCATGATGAAAGGTGCAAAAACCAATCCAAAAGGGTGTAAAACTCTTCAAAATGACACCAAAATTCAAAACTCCAACGGGTAAAATTTTGTACTGGTCATGAGAACAAATGGGCACGTGCATGTGTAGAGAATACCATGACGTGACACCTAATAAATGAATAGGAATGACAAAAAAACTCGATACTCACGGGGCTTCACCCCGAACGGGATGGAGATTAATCGCTTAATCGAGTATTCGGGTAGAGGACGGGCGGATAACTTTGCCCCGGGGCGGGTACGGGGTAATGCGTACCCCACACAGTTAATTTTTTTTATTTTTTAGAATTCAATACTTTAAATGGAAAACTTTACGAAATTTCATTAGTTCTAATAAAAAATGGCAACGAAATATATCTAAAAAATACGACAAACAATAAAAGTCTTAGTTTA